ACAGCATTACTCGCCGGGATAATGAACTGGGCCCACACCGCATGACCGGCGACGAGTCCACGCGCACGTGGGTCAGGTGCCACACACGGGTTCAGGTCCCCTATCGTCGTAGCAGTACCAGTACCACAATTGTGCATCGCCAAACCCATGTAATGGTTCCTGAGTCTGGTCTGCTGCTGCATGTGCTGCTCCCGTATGTCCTTCAACGCTCTCTCCGCATGTCTCAGGTCATAGAAATGGACGGTCACGATTCCATCTCTTACTCTCTCCATCTGAACCCCTCTCACCGCCCCGTACACTTCCAATTCCCTCCTCACCGTTGACTCGCTCACGTCACTCGCCACCCAGCTCAGCACCAGCGTTCTCGTCGGAGCCAGAGATGCGTGTGGGAATTGCGGGACCGCTGTAGCCTGGCCGCTAACGTACGCCACGGGGTGTGTAGCATACTGGTGAGGGTAAGCTACGCTAACATCGCAAAACGGCGCACCTTGCAAGTCGTTTGGTGAGTAGAGGGGAGGTGGAGGTGGAGGTGGAGGTGGAGGTGGAGGTGGAGGTGGAGGTGGAGGAGGGCCGGTGTACGGATAGAAAAGTTGAGGTGGTCTAAGTAAGGGAAATTGGGAGGGATTAGTAGGGTTTCTGGGCCTGAACTCTCTTGCTCTAGGGTCTAGGTTTCCTGTGAAGCGGGAGATACCGGTTTCCGGCATGGTTATTGTTTTTTAACGGGAAACCACGAGAGGGAGAAGAGAAGAAGTGGTTTCCCGGTGAAGGTTAACGGCTGGCTATACGAGGGTACACTAGTGAGTATTAATGGGGTTGGTTTTTCCACCGGCGCTTTGTCAAGTTACTATATCTCTTTATCTTCCCAAGTAATAGTACACATCCCCTCTCTTTCTCTCTCTCTCTCTCTCTCTCTCTCTCTCTCTCTCTCTCTTTTGTCTGTTCTTTTCTCTATTTCTCTGGTTCTCTCTCTCTCTCTCTCTCTCTCACTCTCTGTGTTTGGAAAAAGCATAAATGGATTTCCTTTTTCTCCACCTTCTTTTCAAAGCCAAAGTTGCTAAAAATGTTCTAAATACTGGGGGACGAAATTACCAAACTGCCCTTTTTCAATGTTTGAAAGCTGCTATCGGTGTGAGCGAAAAGTGGGACTTGATTGGATGGGGGTATTGGCAGTAGGGGGGAAACACGAACCGTACACGTGGGGGAGGAGGAGATTTAACGGTGGTGATTGAGTATGGGACAATATTATGTTAGGGCAAGGGGAGGAGAGGAGGGTGATAATAATTGTCTGATGCATGGTACTTTTCATGTTGGGTATTTTTTGACTACTCGTAAGCTTTTATTTAATTTTAATTAATTTAATTTCTGTTCTTGGGTTTGTCTGACTCTTTGATACGCCTTTTGTTGTTCTCATTTTGTATATTCCAAAATTTTTGTACATGCCAACGTGGCTGTTTGGCTTTTAGTAGAGACTCCTCCTCCTCTTCTCTTCTTCTCTTTTGTTTATGGGCTTTGGATTTTGCTTAATCTTGGAACCTGCAAACATTTGCACATTGTAATTCTACTCCGCCATTTTTTAAATTTACTCTAATGCTGTATTTAAATTACAATTTTATTTTAATCTAAAAAAAACCCATTTTCAAATTAAATTCTACTATATTTCATAATAATTAACTTCAAATTTTATTAATTTCAAAATTTTAAGAAAAATACTAATCTACCATCTCATTATTGCAGTGATCATATTCCTTCTAAATCCCTTCTATTCTCATCTCAAAATCTTTAATTTCTTTTAAATAATTAAATTTTTCTCCTTTTAAAACTTGTGTTAGTTATATTATTTACTACAAAAAGCAATTTTTTTTTTTCTTAAAGAAGAAACAAAAAGAAACTTACATAAAAAGAATACACTCCTTACCAATAAGGTTAATTCTTGTGGGTACGATTTTATTTTATTTTATTTTCAAGTAAATAAAATAAATAATGGGTATGGTTTTATTTTATTAACAAACAAATAAATAATAATAATGTGTAACAACATATAATTAAAAGCATAATCTAGCTCAAATTTCAATAATTTTAATTAACTCTATTGGTCATTATTTCTATTCATGTTTTTATCACTATCATTCCAAACTTGCTATCTCATTTAATCTTAATTATATATTGTTGTTACTATTAAAATTTTTAATTTAATGCGATAAAATTTATCACCTCTGTTAAGTTTCTCTAATGGTGTTTGGATTCACTGATGAAGCATGTGACGTGGACATGCCATGTCACATCATTTTTAAATTTATTAAAGTGGTGTCATATCATATTTTTGTCTACCTCTACACTTAAAAAAGCTTGACCAAGGAGTGTCGTTCCCAAATTTCAAAAAGAAGAAGAACAACAACAACAAAGTTCATCCTCCTCTACCCATCGATGAACACAAAATAACGACGTCTTTGTTTTGTTCACTCTAATTTTCGCCCTCATTTTCTTTTCCATTGCAATTAATCATTTTTCTCCTCTGTCATCCATCTCCATTGCCTTCCCTTATCCTCCGTCCAACGTCCTCTCACCATCCATCGCCACTGCTCCTTTATTATGTTGCCACCTTCATTGCCTCGACTACTAAGATGTCCTATGTTGAGCTCCCTGTCATTTTCATTATCATCAGCAATCTCCCGCTTCATAACTTTCTCATCTTCAAACTCATCCATGAGATTCTCTTATGGAGATCTCTCTATTTCCTTGTTACACCATCTTCCTGGACGAGAGTGAGTACTTTGTTTCTAACTTCAAGAAAACTAACCCCCACATTGAGGGCTACGACATTATGTATACCACCAAGGTTTCCTAAATGAACTCGTTGCTCACCTTTACGAAAATCTAGATGATAAACAAGTGTAAACTCGTGTAAAATCTTCTCTCTTTTTTATTGCAAACTCAGAATCAGCAACTTACTAATCACATTTACAACATCAATTAGGATGTCATCTTAACTATGATGACTGAAAAGCTACCATGGCATGCCATTGGATGCTGAAAATTGACGGTTCCTCAATCACAATAGCAAAACCCGTCGCTTTAGCCTCCACAAAAGTTCAATGGTGGTCACAATTTTTCACCTCCTAGTTCAGTTTCAAGTGTTATCAAGCTTGTATGAAACTAGCTGACCCAGCCCACATCAAAATGCACCGTTTACTAAAGAGTGATTTGATGCGTTCGAGCTCAACTGAGGTCGGGGATAGAACAGGTATTTAAACATGTCTTCTTCCCCGAGAAACCGTACCTGCTCTCTTCTCTACTTCCTCTTACGCACACCAAAAGCTTTTATTTTTCTCTGTTTTCTTGCACTCTTTTTCTTATTATTTTATAGGTAAATACGTACACTCCTCATTCAGCCACTCGTGCGAAGAGCTTTCTCTCAGTTCATCCGCTTCTGGGCCTTCTACTATCATCGAACACCACTTGCGCAAATTTGGTATTTTTCTTCACTTTTACTTATCATTTTTTATACAAAAATATTGGTTTTGGATAGGTTAGTCAGTGAACTTCATTTTCTTTTATGGTATCAAAGCATATTAAGAATTGAGAGTCAAAATTCCTACCAAACCATTACAAACCCAAAACCAAATTTTATGGATTTGGCCATAACAAACTTGGACCCCTCAAATGTCAATAACTCATATTATCTTGATAAATCATTGAATTTTATGGCGGTTCTTATCCCGAAACTGCTTAATGATAGAACTATTACACATGGGTAATTTACATGGAATGAGCATTGAGTATACAAAATAAAATAGGGTTTATAGATGGAACCCTAACACAATCTATGGATCCAACGGATCCATTGAGAACATACTAAAAATGGTGCAATGATATGGTGATTATTTGGATACAGAATGGACTCTCATCTAATATTAAGACCGACACATTTTATGCTAAAACAACACATCAACTATGGCATAAACTAGAATAGAGATATGCTGAACAAAATGCAACTATCTAGTATCAAATTAAGCAGTTGATATCTACACTCATGCAAAACCAATAGCTAGTATGGGCTTACATTTCAAAGCTCAATTTTCTTATTGATGAACTCGTAAATTATGAACTCATTCTCATATGCACATATGGGGGACTTAAATCGATTATTGAGTACCTGGAGAGGGATCACACAATGAGGTTTTTAAGGGACTTAATGAGTCATATAGCAACTTGATGTCCAAAATCTTGGCAATGAAGTCTTTTCCTAGTTTGAAGATGCATTTTCTATTATCCAACAATAAGAGAAAATGAGAGAAATTTCTTTAAAATTTGTCACTAACCGGGCTATGGCTTTCAATATAAAAGAGGCCAACAAACCACAGAGAATTGTCAGTCCAAACCAGGAGAAGTATTATTATACCTATTGCAAGAAGACTGGACATTTTTTGGAAAGATGCTTTAAGGCCAATCCAAATAGATCTGTATGCACTAATTGCAATTTGTTAGGACATACGGCTGAGGTATGCCATAGAGATAAAAACTAAGTAAAAGGATAAAGGACTCAAAACAAGATCAGATAACCCACCATCAATCAAGTATCCTCTATTGATGCATAAACTAAACTCAAGGGATAAGAGCACAATTTATTGAGTAATGATTAACTCCACCAACTTATGGCCTTTATCCAACGAAGTCAAGCTACTGTCAATATGGTACAAGTAACTTCAAAGCAAACTCAGGATCAGAAACTCATTGCATTCTTTTATATGTTTTCTTGTTTTAATGTATGCATAATGGATATAAATATTAACATACACACAACTTGGATAATTGATATTGGGGTCTCATATTACATAGTACACACACCACAATTATATACTGAGATAAATCAAATGTTAGATCTAAAATTATATTTTCAAATGGAAAAAGGTATAGATGTATCTCATATAGAAGTAGTAAAATTAAGTGATAAGCTTGTATTAAACGATGTGTTATGTGTGTCTTCATTAGGATTTAATTTCATATCTGCGAGAAGGTTAACACAAGATATTAGATATTGTCTAATTTTTTTACAACAACATTGTGTCATCCAGGACCTTTTGACTTGGGAGACACTTGGGATGAACGAGATTAAAGATTGACTATACCAGCTTAGACAACTCAAGGATTTAGAAAGTGCAAGTCAATAAATCTTTGCAGGAATGACACTACAAAGCTCCAATAAAGAGGAGAGAGACTTTGATATATGGCACTATAGACTTGGACACCTTTTATTTAAATCTACTTTTGATTTTGATATGTTAGCAAATAAAGACTCTAAGTTATATTATGTATGCCCATTGGCAAAAATACATAAACTTTTATTTTTTGATAACATAAATAAAGGATAAAAATGTCCTGATTTAATACATTGTGACATTTGGGGACCTTGTCACAAAATTGCTTATGATGGGTTTAAATATTTTTTAACGATTGTTTATGATTTCACTAGATATACTCGGGTATATATGATGTAAAGTAAGGCTGAAACAAGTTCACATTTACAGCATTTTTTCACTTTTGTTATGACTCAATTTGACATGAAAGTAAGTGTGATTAAAACTGATAGCGGAAGAGAATTCGAAATGAAGAGATTCTATGATGAGAAGGGAATCATGCATCAAAAGAGTTGTGTAGAAACTCCACAACATAATGGAAGAGTGGAGAGAAAGCATCAGTAAATACTCAATACTACAAGGGTGTTAAAATTTCAAAGTGGAATGGACACCAAGTATGGGAGCAATTTTGTTTTTACTGCTACATATTTAATTAACAGAACACCCTTCTCTGTGTTAGGTGGGAATATACCTTTTGAGGTTCTACATAGAAAGAAACCAAATTATAATCGCCTGAAAGTATTTAGGTGCTTAGCCTTCACGTCTACTTTATTGAGTGGGAGACAAAAAATTGATGTAAGAGTAAGAAGATGTGTGTTCATAAGGTATCATTTTGGCACAAAAGGATACAAATTGCTAGATGAAGAGATCAGTGAGGTTATTATTTCTAGAAATATAATATTTTTGAAAAAGTATTTTCTCACAAGAAAAAGAAGTGTATAAAGGATATGCAAACTATACATGAGTTTAGGAATATATTGATTGACGAACTAAAATCAAACACCTTTGTATAAGACAACACTAGGGACCAAGTGATGGGTCAAGATAGTGTAAATATGGAAGTTAGGATCCTCACACAGATAAAAGAGGTATCCAACAATAAAAATATGATTGATGGGGAAAGAGAAAGAAGAGAAGATTATATGAATGACGATGAAATTCCAAAGAAGCAATCAACAAGGACAAAGAGGCCACTAGAATACTTAAAAGACCATATATGTGATCAAATTCAAGGGAACAACGATTGCATAGAGCTGTTTGATCCACAGGTTGATAATGGTGATATCGTTCCCTTATTAAACACAGTTGCATACATAAGACTTATGGGGGGACACAAGATGTATATACTTACTATAGCATTCCATAATGAACCAAGTTCATACAAGGAGGCCAGCAGAGAACTAAATTGGAGAAATACTATGGAAAACAAACTCCAAGCTCTTAAAGAAAATAAGACTTGGAAAGTAATTAATTTACTGACAAGGAAGAGAGCAATAGGATACAAGTGAGTTTATAAAATGAAATTCAAAGCAGATGGGGCCATTGAAAGACACAAAGCTAGACTTGTTGCTAAGGGCTTCACTCAAAGAGAAGGTCTAGATTATCACAAGACAGTCTCACCTGTGGCCAAAATCATCTCCGTAAGAGTATTATTGGCTTTTCCTGCAATCAGAGAATGACACCTTCAACAGTTAGATGTCAACAACGGCTTTTTACATGGAGATTTAAATGAGGAAGTGTACATGGAGCTTCCTCTTAGGCATTCTAAAAGGAGAGAATAGAAAGTATGTAGACTTCAAAAAAGCTTGTATGGGCTTAAACAAACATCCAGACGGTGGTATGCGAAAGTTTTTGAGTTTATTACTTAACAATGATTCAAACAATCCAATGTCAACTACAGTTTGTTCATGAATACCAATGGTGAGAGCTTTACCGTATTATTTATTTATGTTGATGACACTATTGTGGCAGGTAATGATGAATCTGTTATTAAATAACTAAAAATAACCTTGGATAACAAATTTAAAATTAAGGATTTAGGAAATTTAAAGTATTTTATTGGCATTAAAGCTACTAGGTCAAAGATATGACTTCATATATGCCAGAGGAAATATGTCTTAAACCTTTTGAAATATGCATGGGTTCTAGGAAGCAAAACTCATCACTCCCCCTGGACCAAAATATTAAACTTTTGAATGATGAATGAGAGCCAGTACTAGATTCAACAATGTACAGGAGGTTGATTGTAAGGTTGATGTACCTCATATTGACAAGATCTGATCTAGCTTACTCTGTTCAAGTTCCAAGCCAGTTCATGGAGAATCTTAAAGACTGTCACTTAAGGGTTGTATACAAAGTCCTAAGGTATGTTAAAGGTACACTAGGTCAAAGTTTATTTTGCTCAAATACATCTGAGATAAAATTAAATGCTTATACTGAAAGTGACTTGGCAGGATGCTTAGACACAAGAAAGTCTGTTACAAAATATTGTATTATTCTAGGCAGTTCATTGATATCTTAAAAATCTAAGAAACAACAAACAGTTTCTATATCTTCCACAAAAGCGAAATATATAGCCATGGCTAGTGTGTGTTGTGAGCTAACTTAGATAAGGTACTTACTTGATGACCTTAAAGTGTGTAATTTAGAAGCAACAGATCTATATTATGATAACAAGAATGCTATACATATAGGTGTTAATCCTGTGTTTCATAAAAAAAAAAACCAAGAATATTGAGATAGATTGTCATTTAATTAGAGATAAAATACAAGAATGGAGTATAGTCACAAGGCATATGAGCAGCAAGTAACAACTAGCAGATATTTTCACTAAAACTCTATCTAATTGGCTTCTCAATGAGCATATGATCGAGATGGGAGCAGAAAATATCTACTCTCCATCTTAAGGGGGGATGTTATCGAGCCTGTATGAAAATAGGCTAACCCAGTCCACATTAAAATGCACCATTTCACTAAAGAATGATTCGGTGCATTCAAGCTCAACTGAGCTCAGAGACAGAACGGGTATTTAAACTCGTATTCTTCCGCGAGAAACCCTACCTGCTCTCTTTTTTGCTACTGCCGACACACACTAAAAGCTTTTATTTTTCTCTGTTTTCTTGCACTATTTTCTTGTTGTTTTGTAGGTAAATACGTAAACTCGTCATTCAACCACTCCCGCAAAGAGCTTCTCTCTCCGTTTACCCGCTTTTACACCTTCCGTCGTCACCAAACACCCTCTGCTCGAATTGGGTATTTTCCTTCACTTTTACCTATTATTTTTTATACAAAAACATTAGTTTTAGATAGCTTAGTCGGTGAACTTCAATTTTTTCATCAAGCTATCATTTTCTTTTATAACAACTTTATTTTCATGGTGGTGGAATTTTGGATGTGGCATAGTGAAGGGTGGCGTTTTTGCTTGCAAATTACATTGATTGAAGAAGAAAACATGGTAAAAAAAATCTAACATGGTGAGGCGTAAAGGGATTAAAAAAAAAATCTAATATGGCCTCATGTAGGCACCATTATGGATGCCACATCAATAAATTTAAAATGATATGACATGACTTGTCCATGTCATATACTTCATCAACGAGGTCAATCATTGTTTGAGAAACTTAGTAAAGAGGGAAAATTATGATCTTTTTGAAAGTTTAGAAGGAATTTTAAACAAAAAAAAAATACTTTAGGGAGAATTTTGACTATTTTTGTTTAGTTAAAGGGGTTAAAAAT